GGCATTGACTCCATCAATGCCCTGAATGCGGCTGAATGCGGCATTGACTCCATCAATGCCCTGAATGCGGCTGAATGCGGCATTGACTCCATCAATGCCCTGAATGCGGCTGAATGCGGCATTGACTCCATCAATGCCCTGAATGCGGCTGAATGCGGCATTGACTCCATCAATGCCCTGAATGCGGCTGAATGCGGCATTGACTCCATCAATGCCCTGAATGCGGCTGAATGCGGCATTGACTCCATCAATGCCCTGAATGCGGCTGAATGCGGCATTGACTCCATCAATGCCCTGAATGCGGCTGAATGCGGCATTGACTCCATCAATGCCCTGAATGCGGCTGAATGCGGCATTGACTCCATCAATGCCCTGAATGCGGCTGAATGCGGCATTGACTCCATCAATGCCCTGAATGCGGCTGAATGCGGCATTGACTCCATCAATGCCCTGAATGCGGCTGAATGCGGCATTGACTCCATCAATGCCCTGAATGCGGCTGAATGCGGCATTGACTCCATCAATGCCCTGAATGCGGCTGAATGCGGCATTGACTCCATCAATGCCCTGAATGCGGCTGAATGCGGCATTGACTCCATCAATGCCCTGAATGCGGCTGAATGCGGCATTGACTCCATCAATGCCCTGAATGCGGCTGAATGCGGCATTGACTCCATCAATGCCCTGAATGCGGCTGAATGCGGCATTGACTCCATCAATGCCCTGAATGCGGCTGAATGCGGCATTGACTCCATCAATGCCCTGAATGCGGCTGAATGCGGCATTGACTCCATCAATGCCCTGAATGCGGCTGAATGCGGCATTGACTCCATCAATGCCCTGAATGCGGCTGAATGCGGCATTGACTCCATCAATGCCCTGAATGCGGCTGAATGCGGCATTGACTCCATCAATGCCCTGAATGCGGCTGAATGCGGCATTGACTCCATCAATGCCCTGAATGCGGCTGAATGCGGCATTGACTCCATCAATGCCCTGAATGCGGCTGAATGCGGCATTGACTCCATCAATGCCCTGAATGCGGCTGAATGCGGCATTGACTCCATCAATGCCCTGAATGCGGCTGAATGCGGCATTGACTCCATCAATGCCCTGAATGCGGCTGAATGCGGCATTGACTCCATCAATGCCCTGAATGCGGCTGAATGCGGCATTGACTCCATCAATGCCCTGAATGCGGCTGAATGCGGCATTGACTCCATCAATGCCCTGAATGCGGCTGAATGCGGCATTGACTCCATCAATGCCCTGAATGCGGCTGAATGCGGCATTGACTCCATCAATGCCCTGAATGCGGCTGAATGCGGCATTGACTCCATCAATGCCCTGAATGCGGCTGAATGCGGCATTGACTCCATCAATGCCCTGAATGCGGCTGAATGCGGCATTGACTCCATCAATGCCCTGAATGCGGCTGAATGCGGCATTGACTCCATCAATGCCCTGAATGCGGCTGAATGCGGCATTGACTCCATCAATGCCCTGAATGCGGCTGAATGCGGCATTGACTCCATCAATGCCCTGAATGCGGCTGAATGCGGCATTGACTCCATCAATGCCCTGAATGCGGCTGAATGCGGCATTGACTCCATCAATGCCCTGAATGCGGCTGAATGCGGCATTGACTCCATCAATGCCCTGAATGCGGCTGAATGCGGCATTGACTCCATCAATGCCCTGAATGCGGCTGAATGCGGCATTGACTCCATCAATGCCCTGAATGCGGCTGAATGCGGCATTGACTCCATCAATGCCCTGAATGCGGCTGAATGCGGCATTGACTCCATCAATGCCCTGAATGCGGCTGAATGCGGCATTGACTCCATCAATGCCCTGAATGCGGCTGAATGCGGCATTGACTCCATCAATGCCCTGAATGCGGCTGAATGCGGCATTGACTCCATCAATGCCCTGAATGCGGCTGAATGCGGCATTGACTCCATCAATGCCCTGAATGCGGCTGAATGCGGCATTGACTCCATCAATGCCCTGAATGCGGCTGAATGCGGCATTGACTCCATCAATGCCCTGAATGCGGCTGAATGCGGCATTGACTCCATCAATGCCCTGAATGCGGCTGAATGCGGCATTGACTCCATCAATGCCCTGAATGCGGCTGAATGCGGCATTGACTCCATCAATGCCCTGAATGCGGCTGAATGCGGCATTGACTCCATCAATGCCCTGAATGCGGCTGAATGCGGCATTGACTCCATCAATGCCCTGAATGCGGCTGAATGCGGCATTGACTCCATCAATGCCCTGAATGCGGCTGAATGCGGCATTGACTCCATCAATGCCCTGAATGCGGCTGAATGCGGCATTGACTCCATCAATGCCCTGAATGCGGCTGAATGCGGCATTGACTCCATCAATGCCCTGAATGCGGCTGAATGCGGCATTGACTCCATCAATGCCCTGAATGCGGCTGAATGCGGCATTGACTCCATCAATGCCCTGAATGCGGCTGAATGCGGCATTGACTCCATCAATGCCCTGAATGCGGCTGAATGCGGCATTGACTCCATCAATGCCCTGAATGCGGCTGAATGCGGCATTGACTCCATCAATGCCCTGAATGCGGCTGAATGCGGCATTGACTCCATCAATGCCCTGAATGCGGCTGAATGCGGCATTGACTCCATCAATGCCCTGAATGCGGCTGAATGCGGCATTGACTCCATCAATGCCCTGAATGCGGCTGAATGCGGCATTGACTCCATCAATGCCCTGAATGCGGCTGAATGCGGCATTGACTCCATCAATGCCCTGAATGCGGCTGAATGCGGCATTGACTCCATCAATGCCCTGAATGCGGCTGAATGCGGCATTGACTCCATCAATGCCCTGAATGCGGCTGAATGCGGCATTGACTCCATCAATGCCCTGAATGCGGCTGAATGCGGCATTGACTCCATCAATGCCCTGAATGCGGCTGAATGCGGCATTGACTCCATCAATGCCCTGAATGCGGCTGAATGCGGCATTGACTCCATCAATGCCCTGAATGCGGCTGAATGCGGCATTGACTCCATCAATGCCCTGAATGCGGCTGAATGCGGCATTGACTCCATCAATGCCCTGAATGCGGCTGAATGCGGCATTGACTCCATCAATGCCCTGAATGCGGCTGAATGCGGCATTGACTCCATCAATGCCCTGAATGCGGCTGAATGCGGCATTGACTCCATCAATGCCCTGAATGCGGCTGAATGCGGCATTGACTCCATCAATGCCCTGAATGCGGCTGAATGCGGCATTGACTCCATCAATGCCCTGAATGCGGCTGAATGCGGCATTGACTCCATCAATGCCCTGAATGCGGCTGAATGCGGCATTGACTCCATCAATGCCCTGAATGCGGCTGAATGCGGCATTGACTCCATCAATGCCCTGAATGCGGCTGAATGCGGCATTGACTCCATCAATGCCCTGAATGCGGCTGAATGCGGCATTGACTCCATCAATGCCCTGAATGCGGCTGAATGCGGCATTGACTCCATCAATGCCCTGAATGCGGCTGAATGCGGCATTGACTCCATCAATGCCCTGAATGCGGCTGAATGCGGCATTGACTCCATCAATGCCCTGAATGCGGCTGATTTGACTCCAGCCCTGCTTAACTCCGTTTTAATCCGTTTCCCCATTAGCCGCGCATTCTCTTCCCACTCCCTTCTAAGCCTGACCTCCCTTCTAAACCTGACCTCCCTTCTAAGCCTGACCTCCCTTCTAAACCTGACCTCCCTTCTAAACCTGACCTCCCTTCTAAACCTGACCTCCCTTCTAAACCTGACCTCCCTTCTAAACCTGACCTCCCTTCTAAGCCTGACCTCCCTTCTAAACCTGACCTCCCTTCTAAACCTGACCTCCCTTCTAAACCTGACCTCCCTTCTAAACCTGACCTCCCTTCTAAACCTGACCTCCCTTCTAAACCTGACCTCCCTTCTAAACCTGACCTCCCTTCTAAACCTGACCTCCCTTCTAAACCTGACCTCCCTTCTAAGCCTGACCTCCCTTCTAAACCTGACCTCCCTTCTAAGCCTGACCTCCCTTCTAAACCTGACCTCCCTTCTAAACCTGACCTCCCTTCTAAACCTGACCTCCCTTCTAAACCTGACCTCCCTTCTAAACCTGACCTCCCTTCTAAGCCTGACCTCCCTTCTAAACCTGACCTCCCTTCTAAACCTGACCTCCCTTCTAAACCTGACCTCCCTTCTAAACCTGACCTCCCTTCTAAACCTGACCTCCCTTCTAAACCTGACCTCCCTTCTAAACCTGACCTCCCTTCTAAACCTGACCTCCCTTCTAAACCTGACCTCCCTTCTAAACCTGACCTCCCTTCTAAACCTGACCTCCCTTCTAAACCTGACCTCCCTTCTAAACCTGACCTCCCTTCTAAACCTGACCTCCCTTCTAAACCTGACCTCCCTTCTAAACCTGACCTCCCTTCTAAACCTGACCTCCCTTCTAAACCTGACCTCCCTTCTAAACCTGACCTCCCTTCTAAACCTGACCTCCCTTCTAAACCTGACCTCCCTTCTAAACCTGACCTCCCCTCACTTACATCCTCGTTTCCACTTACATCCTCGTTTCCAAAAGAAACACCCCCACCACCCCCAACCACCCCCAACCACCCCCACCACCCCCACCACCCCCAACCACCCCCAACCACCCCCACCACCCCCAAAGGAGGAGCGCCACTCCGCTTACACTGACTCGTGTTACTCCACTTACATCCTCGTTTCCACGTGTGACTCCCTCAACGCCCTCTTCTTCACGCGCATACAGCCGCTCAACCTGATTCTCTCAACTCAACAACCACGCTTTTGCTTCCCACTCCCTCCTATGTCTGCAGGGTGACACGTGTGACTCCCTCAACGCCCTCTTCTCCACTCGCATACAGCCGCTCAACTCGATCCTCCCAATACGCATTCTCTTCCCACTCCCTTTTAAACCCAACCTGACATGTGAGGTTGCAGGGTGACACATGTGACTCCCTCAACGCCCTCTTCTCCACTCGCATTCAGCCGCTCAACCCCGCCCTCAGCTGCTCTGATGGGCCCCGGCCCGGCCAGGTGGGTGCTGCAGGTGCAGAGGGGTGCAGATGGGTGCAAATGAGTGCAGGTGTTAGCAAATACTCTGACAGCCGCTCAACTCCGCCCTCGGCTGCCCTGATGGGGCCCGACCCGGCTTGGTGGGTGCTGCAGATGAGTGGAGATGAGTGCAGATGAGGGGCCCTCTATAACCCTAAACCCGCCCATAGATGCTCTGATGGGCCCCGGCCTGGCCAGGTGGTTGCTGCAGATGCTAATAAGTGCAGTTGCTAATAAGTGCAGGTGCGGATAAATGCAGGTGCTAATAAGTGCAGGTGCTAATAAGTGCAGGTGCGGATAAGTGCAGGTGCTAATAAGTGCAGGTGCGGATCAATCACTAAAGCCCAAGATGGGCTCTATTGCTTTGTCCAAGTTCTTGCATCGCATCATATCACATCACATATCACATCACATCACATCACGTCACATCACATCACATCAGAGCAACGAGTCAAGTATTTTACTCGACTCGTTTTCGTAACTCGTTTTGGGCGAGTAACGAGTCTGCAGTTTCCGAGAAATTACTCGGTTTAGGCGAGTCGAGTATTACTCGTTTTTAATCGAGTACTCGCTATTTACTCGTTTTCGAAATCGAGTAACGAGTAATTTAGGGTAAAACGAGTACTCGGGAAAAAACGAGTACTCGGGAAAAAACGAGTACTCGTGCGAGAACAAGTACCCTCGGTACTCGCCGATTACTCGATTTCGAGTACGGACGAGGAGGGGGGGCGGGGGGTTGGGGGGGGTGGGGGTGGGTTGTGAAATTTGTGTTTGCAGATCTGTTTCCCCCTCGATTTGCCAACACAAGTTGTGTTCACGGATCAGTTTTCCCTCGATTGATATAGTTCCTCCTACTCGATCTGCGAGACACAAGCTTCCGTTTTTAAGTATTCTATACTCCTCTCCAACTCGCGCACGCCAATGTGCGCGTATACCTTAGCGTGATGTGTCATGACCCTTAATTTATTTAAACCGTAGTGTCAGCGGTAAATTTATCCAGCTAGCCCCATTTCCGGTAGTGAGGTTACCAATAACACTCAATCAGTGACATCGGCGATCAATGGGCCGCACTAAGGCCATTTCTGGTTTCTCATTTTCGTGAAGTGGATGGGTGGTTGCAGATGATGGATGTTGCTGCAATGAGGAGCCAGTGTCACCAAAACACGGCCTGAGTACAAGTACCTACAAAAAACAAGAAAATTTCGAAATGTCAAAAACGAGTCGAGCATTACTTACTTTTTTTCAACGAGTAACGAGTCGGCCCTAGGGGTAAAATTACTCGTACGAGTAATACTCGACTCGACTCGTTTTCAAAACGAGTCGGCGGAAAACGAGCCGAGTATTACTCGTTTTGGCATTTGCTCATGCCTCACATCACGTCACATCACATCACATCACATCACGTCACGTCACGTCACGTCACATCACATCACGTCACATCACATCACTTCACATCACGTCACATCACATCACTTCACATCACGTCACGTCACGTCACGTCACGTCACGTCACATCACATCACATCACATCACGTCACATCACATCACATCACATCACATCACATCACATCACATCACATCACATCACATCACATCACATACAGCGTCATATCGCATGATTGCACCTCATCATGTCGCATCGCACTTCATCACCTCGCATCGCATCGCATCACAATTCACAGTTATTGACGTTGCAGGGAGTTGTTGACAATTCTCAAAAACTCACTTCACAGAGTTATTCAGGCTTCTATTCATCTCAGACCTTGAAGTCCACCAAAATGCGCGTGTATTCACTCATTCCTCTCCCCCCTCCTCTCTCCCCCTCCTCCTCCCTCCTCCTCTTTCCCCCCTCCTCCTCCATCCTCCTCTCTCCCCCCTCCTCCTCCCTCCTCTCTTCACCCTCCTCCCTCCTCCCTCCTTTCTCCCTGGTCCTCCTCCCTCCTCCCCTCTTCTCCTCTCTCTCTCCTCCCTCCATCCCCCACAGCTGCTCTGTGTAGACTTAAACCAGACGTGGCTAGAGTTGACGAAAACCTGCGTAGCATGCCAAGTCAGAACTCAAAATTCACAAATATGGGCATGTATTCACACATCCTCTCCCCCCTTCTCCCTCCTTCCCAGCTCCTCTGTGTAGGCTTCAACCGGACGTGGCTAGACTTGGAAAAAACCCGCGTGGCATGCCAAGTCTCTGTCCAACTCACCCCAGCCATCACCACAACCCCAGCCACGCCACCTCCAAGCCCTCAACCACCCGCTCTGCTAGTCGACTACATATACCAGGGCGCGCTCGTGAAGGTGCTCCAGGGCCCGCAGTCCTGCCAGCAGCTGTGGCGGGCGTTTGGCATCGCCTCCCCCACGCGCTTCTTTCAGATGAACCCCGGGCTCTCGTGCGACTCCTTGCTGCCGTACAGCCCCCTGCGGGGGAATGTTATGAGTAGGGTGAGCTGGGTTGCATGGCCTCTGTGTGTGTAGGGTGGGGGTTGAGGAGGGGGCCTGTGTGTGGGTTGTGGGGTGAGGAGGTGGGAAACACGCTGCTGCCATACAGCCCCCTGCACGGCAATATGATGAATAGGGTGAGTTGGACGGCTTGTGTGTGAGGTGCGTGGCGGGTGGGGGGATGGGTAGTGGAGAAGGAAAGGGGATGAGGGATGGGTGAAGGGAAGGGGAGGAAGAGGGGAATGAGTGTCCGTTCGGCATCACCTCTCTCTCCCACGCGCTCCTTCCAGATGATTCCCGGGTTCCTGTGTGCTGCCCTGCTGCTGAACAGTCCCCTGCAGGGCAATGTTGTGTGTAAGGGGAGTACAGGTCTATGCATGTGCACATAACACCCACATGCACATAACACCTCTCGTATGCATGGCTCCACATGCATGGCCCCACATGCATGGCCCCACATGCATGGCCCCACATGCATGGCCCCACATGCATGGCCCCACATGCATGGCCCCACATGCATGGCCCTACATGCATAATCCCACGTGTATGAATATATGTGTGCGTGTGCGTGCGAGTGTCCGTGAGTGTGTCCGTCCGTCCGTCCGTCTGTCTGTGTGTCCATATGTGTTTTTCTGTGTCTGTCTAGGTGTACGTATGTATAAAGGTTATCTTATGCGGGTATTTTTCTTTCCCTTCCATCCTGTTCCAACTGATGGTTGACTCACAGGTTTGCGTGGCTGCTGTTGACGCCCGGCCACTCTCCGGCATTTCATGTTCGACCAAGCGACTGTCTGTGTGTCTGTCTGTGTGTCTGTCTGTGTGTCTGTCTGTGTCTCACAGGTTTGTGTGGCTGCTGTTGACGCCCGGCCACTCTCCGGCATTTCATGTTCGACCAAGCGACTGTCTGTGTGTCTGTCTGTGTGTCTGTCTGTGTGTCTGTCTGTGTCTCACAGGTTTGTGTGGCTGCTGTTGACGCCCGGCCACTCTCCGGCATTTCATGTTCGACCAAGAGAACGTACAGTGTGAAGCGCGGAGACACATGTGGCATGTTGATAGTTAAGAAGTACCGCCGCAGTACTGACAAGTTTATGGAGCTTAACAATGGATATGACTGTACTGTAAGTAGGTTGTGGATTGGCATGTTGCTTTGTTTACCTGTATAAATGCTAACCTCATTAAACTAACCGTTTTTTCTTGCAACTGTGTAAGTTCACACAGATACAGTACTTCTCTCAGCATGACCTTAGTTCCCGCGGCCTCAGAGAGAGACGTGGGGTTTTTCAAGTTCTCCAGACAGAATGCGTTGCAGTGCGATTAAAGAAAGGTGATCGGGTTTGACAAAGCTTTTTAAGGTTCTCTTCAAACGAAGCCAAAACGTGGTATACGGAGAGTATGCTGAAATTCTAACGAACATGAGTACAGATGTACATACCGTAAAAGTATTCCCTCTTTGTTTTGCTTTCGGCTTCCTATGGTAGTTAGTATAGTAATTTCCCCCCTTGTGCTACTTGCAGCCGGTTCATTACTAGTGCTGATGTAGACTACGGGTGAGGAGGGAAGGCGGGCCTATTGCAGCGAGTTGAGGAAGAGGATGACGACGACAATGACACCGATGATGATGGGAACGATGCTGATGCCGTACAGCACACTGTAGCCCTGCACATGCCTCATGCCATGTGGCAGTTGGTACATGGTGGATGGTACGCATAACGCGACACATGAAAGAGCAGAGAAGGCGTGTACATTAGAATTGGAAAAGAGTGGGGGATGATGATGGGAATGATGCTGATGCCGCACAGCACACCGTAGCCCTGCACATGCCCCATGCCATGGGGAGGATGGAGCATGGTGCATGGCGGTGAAGAGAAGAACTGCATCTCAAAATCGGGAAGTGGCGGAGGTGTTAATTTGACAGGCGGTTGTTGCAATCAGCAGTGAGACATGAATGGTGAAGACACAGCGAGCCGTGCCGCTGTTCAGAGTGAGAGTGACAGCCAAGGCTTGAACGGGGCAGGATGATGGGCACAGTGACAAGCCTAAAGCAGAGAAGCATTCAAAACACATTTGTGCAAGGTAGGGGGAAGAGGGGAGAGCAGGGGTGAAGGGCAGTGGGTGTGGGTGTGTGTGTGTGTGTGTGTGTATGTGTGTGTGTGTGTGTGTGTGTGTGTGTGTGTGTGTGTGTGTGTGAGTGTGTGTGTGTGTGTGTCTGTGTGTGTGTGTGTGTGTGTGTGCGCGCGCAAGAGTGTGTATGTGTGCGCGTGTGTGATAGAGAGAGCAGAGGGAGCGCGCACCACCCAGGGGGGCACTTTGCTGCTGAGGTCCTTCTCCTCCTCTGCCTGCTTCTCTGCCGCCTTCTCAACTCGCTCCACCACCGCATCCCACTGGCTCGCAGTCGACCCGCCTGCTGACGTGGCGGATGCTGACGTGGCGGACGCTGAGTAGGCGGCGGGAGGGCGATTGGCCTGGGCGCCGCCCTGCAGCCCCACGTCGGTGATCTGTGCGTAGGGGGACGTGCGCTGCCCGCCTGCCCCCACTGCCTCCTCGGGGGCTGGCTCCTCCTGGCAGGGGAAGGGTGCAGCGAGAGAGAGGTGTGGGGGGTGGGGGGTTGTGAGGGGAGGAGAGAGAGAGAGGGTGCAACGTGAGGCATTAGGGAGGGGTGTGGGGGAGAGAGGTGTGCGCTGGCCTCCGAATCCCACTGCCTCCTTGGGGGCTGGCTCCTCCTGTGCGGGGCAGGGCAGGGTGGGGGGAAAGAGAGGTGGGGAAGCGAGACGGGTGGGGGGATAGGTGAGAGGGGTCAGCGAAAGGCATAAGAGAGGGGTGTTAGGGAGCAGGGACGTGTGCTGGCCGCCTGACCCCACTGCCTCCTCGCAGCCTGGCTCCTCCTGTCAGAGAGGGGGAAGAGAGAGGGGGGTCAAGGAGAGGCTTGGAGGAGAGCGTTGGGGGGGTGGCGTGGGGGTGAGGGGTGGGGGAGAAAGATGCGGGAGAGGAATGTGGTAGAGGTGTGGGAGAGAAGCGGGAGAGAGGTGTGAGAGAGAGGAGGGAGAGAGGAGGGAGAGAGGAGGGAGAGAGGTGTAAGAGAGGTGTAAGAGAGAGGAGGAAGAGAGGTGTGGGAGAGACGGGTGGGAGAGAGGAATGTGGAGGCTGCCTCATCCTAGGCCCGGGCGACGCGGCAACATCAGCTGTGGATGCCGTCTTCCTCACCCCATCCAACCCCACCCAGTCTGCTAACCCACTATTTGTCGTTTCATTAGTGTTATTTATGCAACTTCTCCGCCACTTTCAGGTTTCGCTAGAACACGCGCATTCTTGATTAGCTAGCGTTCTCGCGCATGCTCGCGACGACTTTCATTCCCTAACACAAGCTCGAGTTACGACTTTTTGAAGGCTGCGATACTTAATATTTTCACAACTGAAAGGGGAAATGTTGTGAAAATGATGAGTTTCACGCCCTTCAAAAGGTTGAAACTCAAGTTTGTGTTAGGGAATGAAAGGCGTCGCAAGCATGCATGAAAACGCTAGCTAATCAAGAATGCACGTGTCCTAACAAACCTGAAAGTGGTGAAGAAGCTGCACAAAGAACACTAATGAAGCGGGCTATCAGGGTGGGTGAGGTGTGGGGTGGGATGGAGTAGGGTGGGGTGGGGTGAGGAAGACGACTTCCACAGTTGATATTGCCGCGTCACCCGAGTCCAGGATGCGCCAGCCTGATTTTTTATCCGAAGCGCTCACCGTCTCGCCCCACTGCCTCCTCGAGAGCTGGTTCCTCCTGACATAGAGGGAAGAGAGAGGGAGAGGAGAGAGGAGGCCGAGGAGAGGCGTGGCGAGAGTGATGGGGGGAAGGCGTGGGGGTGAAGGGTGGGGGAGAAAGATGTAAGAGAGAAATGCAGTAGAGTTGTGGGAGAGAGAAGAGAGAGAGGGGTTGGAGAGACGGATGGGAGAGAGGAAAGTGTAGAGGAACTGCGCTGGCCACCTGGCCCTACTACCTCTTTGGAGGCTGACTCCTCCTGACCGGAGCAGGGTGGGGAGGGGGGGAGATGTGAGGGAGACGAGGGGTGGGGGGCTGTAGGAGAAAGGGGTTAGGGAGTGGCGTAAGGGAGGGGTGTGGGAGAGAGGGGACTTAAGTAAAGTTGGCCACCTGATCCCACTGCCTCCTTAGGAGCCTGGCAGGGGCAGGGCGCGGAAAGGAGAGGAATGGGGGTGGAGTGTGAGGGAAAGGCATGTGGGGAGTGGTGAGGGAAGGGTGCGTGCGGGGAAGCAGGGTGAGGAAGGGTGCATGCGGGGAAGCAGGGTGAGGGAAGGGTGCGTGCGGGGAAGCAGGGTGAGGGACACGGGTGGGCGAGAGGTTGTTGGGCAGGCGGGTGAGAGCGAGGCGTGGGGGGGTGGGATCAGGTGAGGGTGGAGAAGAGGGTTGGGGGAGAAGCGTGGGAGTGAACAAAGGAAATTTATCCGTCTTAAACCTCACCTTTTTGTTAGACCCATCTCCCCTCATGAACCCCATCACCCTTTGACCGCCCCATCGCTTCTTAACCCTTCCACAACTCCCATATCCCTTCGTCCCCTCGCCTCACTCAAATGTAAGGGCCGCCATTCGCGCATGTCCTGAGCCATCACTCCGTATCCCCCCTTCATTCCCATCATCCCCAATCCCCTCTTCCTCAGTCCCTCTTCCACTGATCCCCTCTTCTCTTCCCCTCTTCTCCTCTAATCCCCGCCCGCCCCTCGTGGCTTCTCACCCGTAGGCGCGGCCAGTCGCGCATGTCCTGCGCCAGCTTGCGCAGCACCATGCGGTCTGCTGGTACCCGGTCCTCACACACCTGGGAGGGCGGGGAGGGGAAGGAGGCATGGAGGGGAAAGGGGAGGAGGGGAGGGGGGAGACGTTTCAAAACCAGCTTGCGCAGCACCATGCGGTCTGCTGGTACCCGGTCCTCACACACCTGGTGGGGAGGGGTTTGCGGGGAGAGGGTTTGCAGGGAGGGGGTTTGCGGGGGCAGGGGAGAGGGATTGCAGGGGGAGGGGAAGGATGGAAGGATGGGGGAGGAGAATGGGGGAAGGAAATGGGGGGTGTGGGTGGGTGGGAATGGAGGAGAAAGGGCGGGGATATTATCAGCAAGCTTGCGCAGCACCATGCGGTCCGCTGGCACACAGTCCTCACACACCTGCAGTGGACTGAGGGAAGGGGGGCACGGCGGAGGGAAGAGGATGCTGGGGAGGGACACATAGAGAGAGAGGAAATGGCGGGGATGTTTTCCACAAAGAGGAGGTTCCCCAAACGAAGCTTTCCCCAGCACTATGCGGTGATTTTTGAGGCGCCTCAAAAATCACCTCAAAAATCACCTCATGTTGTGAGATGCCTCAAAAGAAGCTTTCCCCAGCACCATGTGGTCCGCCCTCATGTGGTCCCCGCACACCTGAAGTGCACTGAGGGGAGGGGGGGGCACGGAGGGAAGAGGATGCAGGGGACAGAGAGAGAGACAGAGAGAGAGAGAGAGAGAGAGAGAGAGAGAGAGAGAGAGAGAGAGAGAGAGAGAGAGAGAGAGAGAGAGAGAGAGAGGAGAGAGAGGAAATGGCGGTGATGTTTTGAACAAGCATGGTGGGCCTCAGAAGAAGCTTTCCCTCCCCAGCACCATGCGGTCCGCCCTTACGTGGTCCCCGCACACACCTGACGCGAAGGTGGGGGGGAAGGGGAAGGGGGAGGAAAAGCGGAAGCGAAGCGGGTGGGGAGTGGTAAGGGTGGGAAAATGATGCATGGTGCACGCACGCTTGTGTGCTCGCCTCTCCCTGCCCCTTTTTCCGCCCCCTCCCTTGCCCCTCTCCCCGCACTCTCCTCCGCACTCTACCCGCCCTCTCCTGCCCTCTCCCTGCCATCTCCCGCCCCCTCCCGCCCTCTCCCGCCCGCTCTCCTTCCTGCCCTCTCCCTGCCATCTCCCGCCCTCTCCCGCCCGCTCTCCTTCCTGCCCTCTCCCTGCCATCTCCCGCCCTCTCCCGCCCGCTCTCCTTCCTGCCCTCTCCCTGCCATCTCCCGCCCTCTCTCCTGCCCTCTCCCCACCACACCTCTCCCCCCTCCCCAGCGCCCACCTCAAAGAAAGCATCTGCAATCTCGTCGCGCGAGCACCCGCTTTCGTTCTCGATGCCCATCTGCCGCCGCCGCTCCCCCCTTTCCCCTCTCTCTCCCCTCTTCCCCCCTTCTACCGGTCCCACCCCCCCCTTCTCTCCCCCTTACCTCCAGAAACGCATCAGCGATCTCGTCACGCGAGCATCCGCTTTCGTTCTCGATGCCCATCTGCCGCCGCCGCTCCGCCTCGCGCGGGTCCTCGATCATCAGCACCAGCCGGATCTGCGGAGATTGGCGCGCGTGACGTCACATTAGCGCGGGCGGCAGGCGCGCGGCAGGGGGGCGAGGGAGAGAGGGGGAGGGGGGGCGGAGGGGATGGCAGCGAAATGAGGACAGCATGGAGATGGGCGACGCGTGCGAACGGCTGACACTGACGGACAATGACGGGCACTGACGGACAATGACGGGCACTGACGGACAATTACGGGCACTGACGGACAATGACAAACAGAACACAGACAAAGAAGGCGACATGGAGCGTGTAGCGAGAGCACGCGCGCAGCTCTCGCGACGCAGGGTACAGAATTCATGCTCGAAAGCCAACGTTTCTTCCAGACGGCTGCTGCAGCTTTTCGTTTCTTCATGGGTGAACGTACAAGGCTAATAAACGCACCTCCTGCACCGTCATGTCGCGACGCAGGGAACGAACTACAGACTAGGGTACCCCTAGGATAACGCACCGACATGTCTCAAAACGCACCTCCTGCACCGTCATGTCGCGACGCTCCTTGAGCAACTCGATGGTCTGCCACGCACGCACGCACAGGCACAGTGATGGAAACGAATAAGGCTCGATGCACGCAGCACGCAGCACGCAGCACGCAGCACGCAGCACGCAGCACGCACACACCCACGCACATCAACGGATGGCAACGGTAAGTAGTGGGCAGCTACACCACTTGGCAAGTGTCGAAAATCTTGCATTTTGCGAACGTCGCGAATGTCGTGAATGTCGTGAGCACTCTATGCGAGCGCGAATCACCTCGAGGATGTCCTGAATGTCCTTCAGGTCCTGCGCCTCCTCCGCCGACAGCTGCGCCTCCCCATCCTTCCCCTCCGCCGCCGCCGCCGCTGCTGCCCGCACGGACCGCCTAGACACCGGACCTGGTTGTCGCGAGGAAATAGCTTGCTGCGATTGGCAGCGGCATCGGACGGCTAGCGATCGCCCGGAAGAGAAAGCGACGACACGCGATGGGAGGGATGCGGCATGCTGCGATGTGAGGCGCGATTGAGCAAGCGACGACGACGCGTGTGGGCCGTGTCGCACGGCGATGGATGTCGCCATTGCTGACGGGACGATGAAACAGACTAGAATGAAGCCTCACTTATCGGTTGAAATTACCAAAGAGGAAATCCGAAAAGCAAACACACATATGGGGGCAATCAGAAAGAAAATCGCGCATGGATAAGGTACGCGTAGCTTCTCCTCTTGGCTGCAAGATGACAATGTAAGGGCGTGTGTGGTCCTTGAAAATCGTAAAAGTTTACGTTTTTAGGGCGAGTTGTGCGAAACGAACTTAAGTCGAATCAAATTCGACTTTCCTTGTTTTGGGGTTCGAACATCTGGACTACAACACAGCAAAAAGCACACAAACATACAAGGTCGAACCCCGACATTCGACCTTCTAAATAGCGCGCCGAGTCACGCGTCAACAAAATAGGTTACCCGGTAAAATCGACTCTAAAGTAGGTTACCTGGTACTCACCTACATGCCAAGGATGTTGCCACGTGGCAACCGACGAGTGCGCTAATCGTGGGCTGATTTCGTTTTGAAAATTTCAGCTTCGCGAAGCTGCCGCCCGTATCGCCAGATTCTCGCACGTGCTGAAAATCACACACGCTTGGCTGAAAGTGCGCGCGCACGTTCTCTACTAAATCTCGAGTCAAGTTCAGATTTGCAGTTCGAATCTTTGAAATCCCGATAGCTTCGTCATTTCGCTAAGATTAGTTGGCGAATTTGGCGAAACGGGTAACCACACAAAGTTCGCACTGTTTTTTGAACTTTTGGAGAGACTACACACGCCCTAATTTTCGCCACAGCGTGACATCTTTCGTTCTCTCGGAGTTACCGGATTTGCACTGACTGTGATGTCGCCAGCCGCATAAATGGATTCGCGAGTGGGAACTGGGTTGAGGGAAATTGACAAAAACGGGGAGAGAAGGGTGATTGGGTGTGGGAGGGGATGGTTGGGGATGCTGTGTGGTTCGGGAGGCTTGGGGTGACACTACCGTAACGTGGAGGTGATGGGGAAGAATGCTTTTCGAACGGTTCATATCGAACCCTCGCCTGCCAAGGCAACGCAAACCACGCAAACCTCGTCCTGATGGAACGGGACCCTTCCGCCTACTCAACAGGAAGGGAAACAGTCAGCAGAATTCCCGTTGGGTGGAGGGAGAATGGCCGTTGACGAGATTACCGTATCTCGTCAGAGGGCCTTATGAGCATTACATGCCGTGGCTTGTGAGTCTTGACTGTCGCGACGCGAGCTGAATGGGGAACTGAAGTGCGAGCTTGGATAGGCAATCATATGCAGACTCCAAATAGCAGCTCCCGGAAGCACAGGTTTAGCGGAGTGAGCATTTCATTATCTGCGACGCACGCATTGTGAGCGAAACAGCGTTGCCCCACGTGAGTCAGTTTGACATTTGCAGCAACAATTGCTCCTAACTGGGGTGGTCTTAGTCACGAAGTAACACACGAAACTGATCTGAAGTGACACCTTCGACACTAGTGTATGGCCGTGGAAGCTAGTATTCCATCATACTCGCGTGATTCACCATTTAACTCAGGTTGCGTTGATCTTCGCTTCACCTTAGCAGCCAATTCGTGTATGTAACGCATCGACCTACTTCTAACCTAACTCCCAAGCTAACTAACACTCGAGGCATTCATCGAGATTGCTCTCGATAGAAATTGTTCTACGAGTGAAGTAAAGGTTGGATTGGGAAAGAAGGGTTGGGTTGGAAGGAAAAGGTTGGGTTGGAAATTCCAAACCTCAACCAAGAGGTTTGGAATATTCCAATCCATCAAAGTGGAAATCCAAAGGTTGGATTTCCAACCAATCAGAAACTGCCACTTGAATGTTACAACCTACTCTATCTTAAAAACAACCATACAAATGGTTCTAGGTTGGGTTTTCCCAACCCAACTATTTGCCACATAGGCTCCAAGCCTAGGGACCATCCCACCATGGAAACCATGGTTGGGAAAGTCCACCAAAGGGTGTATTGAGGGGGTTTGAGCTAACCAAGCTCATTCTCAACCTCCCACTCCAACTAAACAATTGGAAATGGGATTGTTTCTCTAAGTCTTGGTTGGTTCTCTCACAAGCCTTCCTACACAATTCTCTCAAGCTATTTCAACAACTCCTTCAAGAAGATTGACACCTCCAAGGCTCTTGGGAGCTAGTTAGAGCTTCATCTTGTATTGGATCTATTATAAAAGTCTTGTAACTCCATTATAATAGCCTTGGGTGTTACATTGGTGTCTAGAGCAAGGCTCTTTCTTGGCCTTGTGTGGCCATTTGCTACTGGGATAATTTTTTTTAGAGGATCCTAGCTTGGGGACCTAGGATTTCATCCAAGAAGATATCAAGATCTTGAAGATATTGAAGAAATTTCAAGATCTACAAGTGGTTCTTCAAATCTACAAAAGTTTCTACAAAATCTCCAAACTTCAAGCTTCAATTTCTTCAACACATCATCGGAGCTTGCAATATCTACAAGCATCTTGGTCTTCTTCATCAACATTGAGAAGAAATTTGAAGAGAAATTTATTTCTCTTACCCACCTTTTGGTGGAAGACTCTAAACCACCTTTGGTGGAAGAGTATCTTCAGATCTACAAGGACTTGTTGAGGATTACTCTTTTGAGTATATCTTGCCCTATCATTGCGGTGATAGGGAGATTTAGCAAACAAGTCAATCTTAAGAGATTCTGTATTGGATTATTCTATAAGAGTAATCAGATTTCTTAAAGATTATTAAAGGATCTGTTGAGATCTCCTCTCCTTAACCTATTTCATGGCTTCTGGTCAAGAGATGGATGCTACTAAGGAGGTGCCCATTGCTGGCAATGAGGAGATAATGCTGCTGCTGCTGCTGACATTGATCTCAACCTTGAGGATTTCGTGGACATGGAGATCAATGGAAGTGAAGCTGACCTTGATGCTGATGCTGAAAATGAGGATGGGGCTGGCTCTGACGAGGGTGTTTCCAATGAGACTGAGGACATCGCTGTTAAGCTCCAGACTCAAATCACAGAGCAGAATATCCTCATTGGGGAGCAGCAGTGCCGCATCCAGAACTTGGAGGCTGATTCTGTGAAGCTTCAGGCCTTGATTGAGCAGCTGACCAGGGAGGTGCAATTGATTCCTAAGGGAAACGACACCTCCAGCTTCATTCAGGACCTGCAGACCACTCTCCAGTTCGTACAGGATCAGCTCAAGAAGCAGGAGAAAAGCATCTCTGTGCTTCAGACTCAGTACAGGGAGATCCGGCGTGGCAACCTCTATCAGTCTGCTCCTGCAGCAGAGCGAGTAGCCAATGCCGCTAACAGCCAGGCTGCACCTGCTGCTGCATCTCCTGTGGTTCCTCCTCCTACTGGAGCCCGTACTGAGCCTCCTACTGCAGCTGCAAATGCCTTTGGCTCCTGCCCTTCGGCCCTGCCTCGTTTTGTCCATGGCAAAACTGACGTTGAGACTTGGCTCTCCATTGCGGAGGACTTTATGTCCATCCACAATGTGCGTAGCGAGGCTCGCGTGGTCGCTGCGACCCTTGCCCTGGACGACACTGCGAGCAAGTTGGTGTATGCCAACAAGCGCCACGCAGAGGCGAATGGCCACCCTTTTGGCTGGGAGGAGTTCAAAGCGGCCATGCTGACGGCGTTCTTGGTGCAGCCCCCGGCGCTCGAGGTGCGTAGCCGCCTGGAGAACATCCAGTGCGGTGACCAGCCTGTACGCGAGTACGCCAAGGAGTTTGAGAAAACTCTGTCGCTGCTGAAGACTGCTCTTCCTGAGAGCGAGGTCATCCACCAGTTCTTCAAGGGTCTCCCCGAGCACATCAAGCGTGTGCATGTGGTGAAGGGGGAGCACCAATGGAAGACCTACAAGGAGTGTAAGGAGGCACCCAGGCACCCAGGGGCGGTGGCACGAGACAGCCACACGTCGCGAGCGAGGTTCTGGCGCCGGTACTCGGCCTCCTGCTCAGGAGTAGGCGGTGGGGTAGTGGGCAGCAGGCTAGGCTGCGGAGGAGCGGTCTGAGTACCGGACGCGTGTGCGAACAGGTGCACGCCATCCTGCCGCTGGCTCTTAAGGTGGCGCTGCGCCTGCGTAAGCCACGTACTAAAGTCTATGGGTCTCCCCTCAGGGTCAAAACGAAGTACTCGGGAGGTCGCCATAAGGGGCGAAAGTGGGAGAGCGCGGCTGCCAGCCGCGGGAGGGTGAGACAGTCAGTGGCGTGTGGGCAGGCGCGCAGGCGTGCAGGCGGGCAGGTGGCACGGCACGGCGCGCTGGCCGGCGAGCGGCGCGGCGGGTCTACGGGCGGGCGGCGCTGCGCGCTGGCGGGCGCGCTGGCGTTTGCGCTGGCGGGCGCGCTTGCGTGTGCGTTTGCAGGGCGCGCTGGCGTGCGCGCTGGCGGGGCGCGCTGGCGTGCGCGCTGGCGGGGCGCGCTGGCGGGGCGCACTGGCGTGCGCGCTGGCGGGACGCGCTGGCGTGCGCGCTTGCGTGACGCGCTGGCGTGCGCGTTGGCGGGGCGCGCTGGCGTGCGCGCTGGCGTGCGCGCTGGCGTGCGCGCTGGCGGGGCGCGCTGGCGTGCGCGCTGGCGGGGCGCGCTGGCGTGCGCGCTGGCGTGCGCGCTGGCGTGGCGCGCTGGCGGGCGGGCTGGCTAGGGCGCTGGCGGGCCTGCTGGCTAGGGCGCTGGCGGGCCTGCTGGCTAGGGCGCTGGCGGGCCTGCTGGCTAGGGCGCTGGCGGGCCTGCTGGCTAGGGCGTGTAGGGCAAACGGGGGGGGGGGGGGGCGGCGCACCAAGGCTAGAGACGAAGTTTTAGGAAGGGCGGCGACTAGGTGTGGCCTAGGAACGGCGAACCTACTGCTGATACCATCTCACAAAGTGAAAACAGCGGAATGAGTTAGATTGACTGTGTTGGGGTACAAATGCCTAACCCTAACTGTTTGTACCCCATATAGCATGTCCCACTAGAGGCTATAACATTTGACACACTCGCCCTGTTGACATTCGCTACATCACACCACATTCGCCCTGTCACCTCACACCACATTCGCCCAGTCACACCACATTCGCTCGCCCTATCACAAGAGGGATTCGCACTGCTTAGTGTAGAGATTCGCCCTAACACAACGAGGAGTCAAAGTTGACTCAGTCAACCTGTCACAGTAGAGATTCAGGCACTGTCACGGCACGGATTCCCTTCCCACCACTGGAAATCGCGATATGCTATGTTTCGGTTTCAGACGAAACAGGAAACACTTGTCTGATAGAACAGATGGAAACCAAAAACCATTTCTGATCAATCAGATGGCATAAAAAAACATTTCTGGAAAATCAGATTAGTGGAAAAAAATCTGTCTGATTTCTCAGAAAAACAGACAAAAATGTTTGATAGCGAGGACCCTGGGCTGACGCTATCAGACTAAATAGTCTGATTAGTCTGACGAATCAGACCTTTGACTTTCTGTCCCCTGACATTTTAGACTAAGTGATTTTTGAACCCTAATTGACTCAGAGTAGTAGTTTTGTTATCCCTGTTTCCGTGTATAGTGTGTCAGACTGATCAGTTAGTGAACCCTGTCTCAACAGAGTATCAAGTCTGTGGGCCCTGAATTCGAGTTTATCTGAACGAAGGTTCGAGGAAACTTCGTCTCAATATACACCTCCGAGGTGGCAGCGGAGTGCTGGAACATGAGAAAAACACGGCACCAGGTGAGGGCCACCCGAGTACACTCAATATTATGTAGTGTTCCGAGAGTCAAATGGTTACGTCTTGAGGGTAACCATTGAATCGTGAGGTTACTTCAAGGAAAGATTGATTTTGTGCGAATCGCGCAACGAAGCGATGAATCGTACAGCGAATACGCTGGAGAGAAAACAACACTGAATGAAATGTATCACATTGTGATGCTAAATTCGTGTCTTCTCTCCGCGACAGAATGTCTGAAAGTCGAAGTACTTGTTCGGGGAGAAGCGATTCACGCACATCAGGTGTAGTAGATGGGTTGGAAATGTCTGCTGCTGCCAAACAGGTTCTCGCGTGCTGCCTGCTGCCAGCTCAGCTGCATGGCAGCTCGCCTACAGAATTTGGAATATATATTGCACTGCCTGCGTAAGCAGGCAGTGCAATCGAGTCAGCAAGCTGTCGCAAATGGCATGCTGTCGCGATGGGGTTTATTTTTTTTGCCCGCGGTCAGCTTGCTGACTCACTCGGTAGCGCTACCGAGCGCTACCGGGCGCTACCGGCGCTCGAAAGTGAAATGTATTGTTTGGCATCATTGCAAGCACGAGCTGCGAGGTACACACCACAATGCCATCAACATAGGCTGGGCAACGGTGTGCACGAGGACTAACCCTGATGCGGACCCACCGACACTGACTGGTCAGACACTCTGACTTCTGAACACTGACCAATCAGAGTGCCTGATTTCTGGCCGAAGTGCCTTCAGAGTGAAGAAAATTTAGGGGGTTGGAATCAGAGTGCCTAAATTTGAAACGTCAGCCCTGACCCTAATTGGGTTGTACCCCATATTGGCTACCCCACTACAGCCTACACAGCATAATGCTCTGACACACCCCCATAGGCAAGGTGGGGGAGTACAAGCAGTCACAGAAAAGCAAGCTCAGGGTGGATCACAAAGTCACCACACATTCTGAGCACAAGCAAATGGCCACAAGGCCAGTTCACATGCAGGGTTATATAAAACAAAGCAAGCAGTACAGTGATCACAACCTAGCAAGTGTACGCATGGAGGTATATATTTAGATCACAGTACAAGCAATGTCACGCAGTGAGCGAGTGAGCAAACGTAGCTACGAGGCCTAGAGCAGTACACAGACGCTGATGATCACCAGGCGGAAGTGCCTTGGTGAATATATCAGCTGTGTTGGCCCGAGTGGCCACGTAAGCAAGACGAAGCTGACCACGCTGCTGCAACTCTCGAGCTAGGAAGTAACGCAGAGCGATGTGCTTCGTTCTGTGCTCCAGTCTGTGCTCCTGACACAAGGCGATAGCGGCCTTGTTGTCTACGTACAGAACTGGAGGAGAACTAGGCCGCTCTCCCAAGTCGGTCAGCAGGTAGGTGAGCCAGTGTAACTCCTGTGCAGCCATGGCTCCTGCGTAGATCTCAGCCTCACAACTGGAGCCGAGAACAGAAGACGAGCGGGTAGACTGCCAAGAAACAGAGCCGGAGCCAAGGCTGAAGGTGTAACCATGTGACGACCGCTGCGTAGCCAGGTCGTCAACCCAAGAGGCGTCTGAGTGTCCAGTGAGGACAACTCGACCCTGTCCTCCAAGCACCAGCCCCATGCCCGATGTACTGCACAAGTAGCGTAGCACCCTCTTAGCAGCCTCCCAGTGCTCTCGCCGGTGTCTCCCAGGTGCAACGTAGCGAGCCAGGATGCTAAGAGGGTACGCAAGGTCAGGTCGCGTGCAGGTCATCAGGTACATGAGGCAGCCCACAAGCTCTGGATACGGACCACTCGGCTCTACGGACTCGTCCGAAGGTGGAGCTGAGAGCGAGTGACTGGTAGGCAGAGGAGTGGACTGTGGTGAGGAGAACTGGAAGCTGAAGCGCTGAAGGACCTGCTGCACCATGTCAGGGTGATGGTGCGCCGTGCTCTGTCCTGGGTGATCTGCAAGCCAAGATAGTTGCGCAGCTCACCCAGGTCTGTGCACGTGTGTCGCTTCTGCAGCTCCGACTTCACAAGGGCCAGTGCCTCAGTGTCAGCAGTGGCAAAGACCAAGTCGTCGATGTACACGAGGATGTAGAACGGCGGCAGCGAAGTGTCGGTGCGCAGAAACAGCGACGGGTCAGCAGTCGACGGAGCAAACCCGAGAGCCGCAAGCGTAGTCCTCAGTGTGTCGTGCCACTCACGAGGCACCTGGCGGAGACCGTAGACTGGCCGCCGGAGGCTCCACTAGGTACCTGCAGGAAACGACCCAGTGAAGCCAGGTGGGCGGCACAGCCAGATCTCCTCGTGCAGGTTGCCCTGTAAGAAGGTTGTGCTGAAGTCAAGAAAGTGAAGCTCGTAGTCACGCTGAGCGGCAACGAGCAGCAGCACCCAAAGAGTGGTCATCTTCGGGGTAGGGGAGAAGGTCTGGAAGAAGTCAACTCCCTGTCGCTGACTGAAGCCTCGAGCAACGTAACGAGCCTTGAAGACAGGCGGAGAACCCGGCGGCCGCTTCACCCTGAAAATCCACATGCCATCGACTATGTTCGCCCCAGGAGGGGGAACTGCGTCGACGTAGGTGCCTGTGGACTTCCAGGATGCCATCTCTGCGTCCATGGCTGTTTGCCACTGAGAGGAGTAGGGACCCGAAATCGCCTCTGCGTAAGAGCGCGGGGTCGGGATGTCTAGTGCATCCGGGTCTCCCTCAGGTGCAAGCAGCTAGACCACGAGATAAGGTACAGCAGCCGCAAGACACTCAAAGTCCTCCTGCCTATCCTCAAGGACGTCCGTGCCAAGAGCACACTCACCCCCGACGGACGGAGGTCAGACAGACTCAGACTCAGCAACAAGACTAGCAGCGTACGAGTGAGCCTCGAAATTTCAAATATTTCAAAGTTGAGCTTTCCTGTTTCCTGTTTCCCTTCCATGTTCTCTCTCGCCTTCATTCTCTGGAGTACGACTGCTGGCTACAGGTGCTTCATTCCACTCCTTCTCTGAGCGTTTGGATATCGCTTCACACGGCGCTACCCAGACTTCTGGAACGTGTTGGCAGGCCAACTACTGTGCTGACCCTCGGTTCTGGTAGCCAAATGTGTATTGTGAATTGCTTCGCTGTACGCTTCATAAACGCTGCAACAATATAGTATTACTTTACAGCGTTACTGTCCGTTGCCATTGATTGGTGGAAAGCGTGTGCAAATATTTATTAAATGAAGAAATCTTGAGTGCTTCTTTGGTGCTGCTCTGTACCGAAGGACATGAGGACGAGAGATGCTTTGGCATATGCGACCGCATAGGAAACTATATACACCAGATAACTCTACACATAGGGGAACTAATCACATAAGCAGCTGCAATAGGGCACTGGCATCATGCCAGATCGTGGCATGCCTTGGAGTAGCGCAGGTAACAACAAACGGAACGTGTAGCGAGCTGCCACTCTTGGGAAGGAGCAGCAGTAGCAGTAGTAGCAACAGCAGTGGCAGATGGTGACTCCTGATTTGATTGCAAGTTCATTGGAAGGCGTTGTGGAAGATGGTGGAGACCCAGATGAGGCGCAGCACAGCACCGTGCCCAGATGAGACAAACCACCTCACGCCGCGAGTCGTGAGCTTGGCTTTACACCTGCTGAATAGAGCCAGCAGAGGGGAGAGAGGGGTGAGGCAGGGCGTGCATGGAAGGGCAGGAAAGGCGGGGATGATGAAGGGGCAGGGGAGGCGGAGCACACAGGGTGGAAAGGCACCCAGTTCAAGCGAGCCAATCCCCTGTTCAGAGATGTCTGCGCGCTGCTAAACGGCACCTTGGCAATGGGCATGGTGAAAGGGGTAAAGGGAAGGAGCAAGCCCCTCATGCAAGAGCATGGAGATCCTGGCTCGTGGTTTGTTGCTCAAGCCTCGTGCAAATCTGGGAGTTGCGCACATGAGGGGCAGGGCAGGCAGTGACATGCCAAACGTTTGTGAAGTGAGGACCAAAGCCAATGCACGGGCAT